AATCAAAGCACATAAATTATCAAAACTCTTCACTGTGAACAAGTTGACAAAATCCTATGCTTAAAACAACTGGTGCCATTTCCTCCTTCAGTTTCTGGGCCCTTCTGCTCACTTCCAAATTCACGCTTCCTGTCTGAAAAGTCAGTGCATTCCCTCCTCTTAAAAATGAACACTGTCCCCAAAATATGTTTTAAAATCCTCCTGTCTAAAGGAGACAGTAGTCAATAAAGGAGATTTAATAGTTCAAAGATCTACACGGAACTAGATTTTGCTGGTTGTACTGGATGCAGTTTGAGTGGAATACGAGTAGTTGAAAGGGCCTGGTACATGAGTTTGAAGGATGAACATTTCTTTAAAGAAATAGGGAAGTATTCAGAACCTGGCAGGGGAAAAGAAACTTTATTCGATGCAGGTTGTGGTGCTAGGTGGACCATTCAGAAGGCAGTAAGTTAATAAGTAAAGGTAAGGCAACTAAAATAGTGGTCCTTAAAGTGTGTGCTCAGACTAACAGCATTAGCATTATTAACTGAGACCAGTCAGAAATGTAAATTCCTGGGCCCTTCTGAATCAGACCCACTGAATCCAGCTGATTCTGTTGTAAGTTCAATTAGAGAATCACTGAGCTAGAAAATGCTTGGTACTGTGCACCTAACACAAAGGAACTACTGCCCAGTTGGGTACGAAGGCCTTGGAGAAAGATCTGAAAAGGCAGTGGGCATTTCTACCCATTTTTTTCATTTCCACCACCACTGCCTGGTCCAAGCACCATCATCTCTCATCCCGTCTGGTGCAATAGCCTGATACTCAGTCTCACTCCTCCCATCTTGTGCCCCAGAATCTAGATTCAGCAGCAAAGAGAGCGATTTTGACAACTTTTAATACTAGGTCACTACTCCCACTTAAAAATCCCTAGTGGACCCCCACCACAAGGAATAAACTCTGAGGTCCTTATTTTGGCCCACAAAGCCCAGCGTCCCCTGCTTGCCTCTTTCACTTTTTTCTCTTTCCCTGGAGCCCGTGGCTCAAGCCTGTTGCTTAATCCTCTGTAGGGCCTTTCTAGTTGGTCTTTCTGCCAGGTTTCTCCCCTTGCTCCATATCTGTGTTATGGGCTCTTTCTTGCCATTTAAATTTCAGCTTACATGTTACCTCCACAAGGAGGCCCTATGTGAAGCCCCCAATATAAAGTAAATCAATGAACATTCTCATATATTAGCTAAGTAATTTTTGAGAATTTATGTAATTTCCCTAAGACTAATTTATTCATCCATAAAGTGTGGCTCACAATAATCCATAAGAGTGTAGGAGGTTCAAATGAAATAAAGTAGGGGAAGTGTCTAACATACGCCTCACACGTTTGTTAGTCATTCCTCTGTCGGGGAGGCCCTTCTCATGCTCTTCCCTTCCCTGTCCAGGACTTTCTTTCCATTGCATCACTTCCGCAGCTCTTGGCTGGCCTTTCAATTTTTAGTTTTTCCTCGCTCAAATATATCTTACATACCACTGCCAGTTCAGTAATCTGTTTAAAAAAATCTTAACCTTACTTCTTTAAGAATGTGAATTCCCCCAAACCCCTTCCCCTTTTGGCCCCTGGTAATCAGTACAAAGCATTTATTTCTTAGGAATTCAAATAGCACTGCATCAGCCAGGAGTGTTATTTATTTTTTTATTTATTAGACTTTATTTTATTTTTTTAAAGATTTTATTTATTAATTTTAGAGAGATGGGGAGGGAGGGAGAAAGAGAGGGAGAGAAACATCAATGTGTGGTTGTCTCTTGTGCAATGCCCCACTGGGGACCTGGACAGAAACCCAGGCATGTGCCCTGACGGGGATTAGAACTGGCAACACTTTGATTCGCAGGCCGGCACTCAATCCACTGAGCCATACCAGCCAGGGCAGGAGTGCCTTTTAGAAGCCACAAAGGTAACAGGAGGGCTTTTTTCCTTAGGTTGAAGTTTGTAATTTAATTGTTTGCCTACATTATGCTGCTCTTTATGGGGAGGGTGGGGAGGAAGGAAGGTATCAACTGAGTCTCCACTTCTGTCTTGCCGATTGGTTGTGGGAGTCAGGACAGCCTGCGAGAAGTGTTGCTGTGAGGGTGAGCTGGGGAGAGATCCTGACGGAGCCACAGATGCAGCAGAAGTGCTCAGAGCAGGACAATGTTTTCCTGCAGTGACAGGGACTCGGACTGGAATGTCAACAGAGCTGGAGAGCAAATGCAAATGACCTCAGGGAAAGTGTGAACTGGTTTCTGAGGGAAGGAGAGTGAGTATAGCTAACACAGCTCCCAGCACTCGATTAACATTTACTGAATAGGATTAAATGGAACGAAATTGAATAGAGCCCAAAAGAAGGCAATATTTTGAAAGAGCAACCTCTTTCAAAGATAGCAATTTGAAACAAATTTAGGAGGAAAATGTATGATGTCAGATTATGCTAATTTGGTGACTTTTTTTAAGTAAGAAAAAGAAATGTTTTCAACTTTCTTAGGTTAATGTAGCCTTAACTGAACGAAAGATACTTCATAGGACTGGAGTTATTCATAGACACTCTGAAATGCTGCCAGAATTGTTTTCAGGGTTTGTGGTACTTGTTCTAAACCCTACAGACGAAAATCAGAAATCTGTATCAGACAGGTAACCAGAAAGCCTCTATGTGCATAGGAATCACTTGAGCAATCTTTTTAAAGATTCTGACCTGGTAGGACCAGGGTGAGGCCTGAGCATCTTCCCACACAGTAAATTCTAGACAATGCTGATGGTTCAAGGACCTCACTTTGAAAGAAAAGGGTCTAATTTAACCTCTTCATTTCCTACAAGAGCAACTGAGGCCCAGAAAAGTAAAGTGTCTTGCCCACACTCTACACCTTGGTGTTTTATTGAGAGGTTCTATAGAAACCAGTGTCACACAGAGCTACCTGTGTGGTGGCAGCCGAGCTCATGTGGGCAACTTAAATGGTACCAAGGACAAAGAGGGCACAGCCTGGAAAAACGAGGAAGAGGTGGTGACTAAGTGTCGCTGGCCAAGAAAGTCATGAGAAGGCATATGGCAGGTATATTTAAATCACTGACTCAAGCAAAAAGAGAATGGGATTAACAGATAATAGTTTTAACATTCCTGACTATAATTTTAAAGTTAGTGTCAGGGAGATATTTTTAGGCAAAGGACCCTCTCCACACCCCTCACATGATGTCAGTAACTATTTTGCCTCTTCATGGCAATAATTATTTATTCCCGAGCTTTAACTCCAGTGGAAGAGACAACATCAAAAGTTAAAGGTCAGAGGTATTCTTTAACTCTTAACCTATTAACCAGTCAATTAATTAGTTATTTTAATTTAATTGTTAAATTAACAGTTGTATTTTAATGATACATTATGAACCTGTTTCCCCTACTGTGGAGATATTTAATTCTAAGGAAAGAAAATGTATAAAGGTAAATATTAAAGAATTCCCCTCTTTGCTTCTTGAGATGTTAACATAAGCAGTTGGCTGAAGACAAGGCCCGCCTCTGCTCCACTGTCCTGGGCATCAGGGCTGTGAGTCCAGTACTTGCACTGTGCCCCGAACACATGACCGGCCTCCTCCAAATCTATTCAACCTCACCATTTGCGGTTCTCCACCTGTGCTAGAAATCTCTTTACCTTTAAACTTTCTAGTTGTCTCATCAGCTAGTAAATTTTCATACCTGCTGCTTATATTATTAGTATCAGTATTTTAAATCATTTGTTTTGTATTGGCCAAGAATGGATTACCTAGGGTTCATTATAAATCAACCTGTCTTCTTGACTACTCCTAAACCAACACTCCCCAGTCTTGCTAGCAGAGAACCCCAGCATACACCTTGAAGATCTTGGTGCCTTGGAAACCCTAAGACTAAATGCAATTAGGCATGTCATACATAGTGCACTTAATTGTGCCTAGCAAACAGACATAATTACAACCCAGACACCCTTAGCAGAGTTATGGGATGCACCTGGAGGTTACAGAGGCAGGCAGGAACCAGAAATTAGTATCTGGGTAGGTCTCCTTTAACTTGGCATTGGTGGCTTTAGCCTGTGTACTTCAGAGTGTACAGAATCACTTTTTGCTGCATAAGCCACTTCCCAGTATGTCCTTAGCTGAACTCTAAACCATATAACACCAAAGCAAAGCTAAGAGGAAAGAAGAAAATAAACACTGCTTCCTTATCCCTGCCAATTCTATGCAGTTACTCCAAAAGCTAGAAATAATCTAGCTACATTTTAAAGCTTCCAATACATTAATTATCATTAATCATCATTAATCATTTTACATTTGTCCCTCTGGATATGCAAGTTACAACTCTTTAATAATTTATGGTCTGTATAAGTTCTGCAACTTGTAAAATACTTCCACTTCTATTCCACGGATGCACTTTGAATTCAAGAGCTCTGGGGTGTACGGAGTCATGTTTAGGGAGTATGGTTAGGAAAAAACAGGTTTTAAACTCTGCAGAGAAAGTTTAAATAGCACATGCAGTAAATACAACTGTGGCACATTAGCTGGTAGGTGACACAGGGGATGGAATTTAAGCCACATGAGAATGACTTGCAGTTAACATAGGAAATGCCAATTGGTGAAAATACGACAGCATTTGGACTTTAAAATGACAAATCCTGGGTTTAGTCTTCCATCTATTTCCTCACCACTCCCCTTCCTCAAGTCTGCAACCCCTCATCAGTCTCTCTGGTTGATTGCAGAAGAAAGAACCTAAACTGTCAGAAAGCAGGTAATCTCCTCTTGCTCTAAGATTTTAGAATTCAAAACAGAAATTTACATATGCTGAGTCTCATTCTCAGAGCGAACATCTCCCTCCACTCCCCCTCCCTCCCCTCCCCCCCACCGCCACCCATATGTAACTAATTTGCTTAACAACCTTCTTGCTCGGAGCAAAAAAAGTGATGAGCAGCTCGGCCTCAGTCTCTGCGTTCACCACTCTAAATGTCTCCATGGTGCACCTGCTCAGGTCTGAGAAGCTTACCTTAACTGCATGGGCTGAGTCAGCATCTGCTGCACCCGCGTCCAGGATTGTGAGCAAGCAAGCAGGTCACAGGAGGCGGCTGAAGGAGCATCAGCTGCACAGAGCAGAATTCTGTTGAGGAGGCAGGGAAAGGAGAGAAAACTTCAACAGGAATAGTTCAAGTGTTTCGAGGTTAAAAATAAAACTATATCACAAGGGTCAATGTGACCAGGCTCAGCTTACTGATTTTTTCTTTCCCCTGTGTTTATCAACACTCGGTCTCTACTGCAGTGGCATTTAGAAGGGAAAGCCAGAAGGGAAGTGAAGTTTTATATCAATGGGTTTTCTTTCCCTCAAGGAAGGAAGAAAATCCTTTTAAGAAGGATCCTTTTCAAGGCTGGAGCAGCCTCCCAGACTCCTGTGCGTGCACTGGGCAGATCCAGCTGTGCTCATGGTGGCTGGTGGAACATTCAGGCTGTCACTCTAATTATAACCATGCTTTTCACCTAAATCCACAACTTGCTGAAGCAGCAAATTGTGCAAGTGACATGAGGTCTTGTTTCTCTTTCTCCTATTTCTTGTCATGACAAGCAAGTGGCTGTCCTCTCCTGGCCCTCTTCTTTCCCAGGTGGTTGGAAAAGGGAGAGTTTGTAACTCATAAATCAAGCACAGAGCAAGTCCAGTGTGAGAGAATTAGAAGTGGCAGGAGGCTTAGCTGTGGCTTACTCCAGCTCCCTCTTTTTACAGATGAGAAGACTGAGGGTAGAGAGTGTAAATTGTCCAAGGTCACACAACTTGCCCTAGCAGAAGAGCCAGAGGAAAGACAATTATTCTGATTCCCAGTCTGGTGTTCTTTATCTCATCCTCCTCAGAGGGATGCATTCAACTATCTTCCAACGAGATTGGGTGCATTCAGGGTGGTGTGGCCGTAGACACATTCAGCTATCTTCTGAGGAAAGAAAATATGTAATCCTGGCTTGGCTAATTTCTAGGTACAGTTGACCCCTCATCTGTGGTTTTTCTCTCTGTGGTTTCAGTTACCTGAAGTCAACTGTGCTCTGAAATATTAAATGGAAAATTCCAGAAATAAACAGTTCATAAGTTTTAAATTGTTACCGCTCTGAGTAGCATGTTGAAATCTTATGCTGTCCAGCTCTATCCAACCTGGGATGCAGATTTACCCTTTGCAAATTCTCCAGTGCATGGAAGCTGCACATCCTGCCTGTTAGCCACACTTGGTAGCTGTCTTGGTTATCAAATACCTGTCACAGAATCACAGTGCTTGTGCTCATGTCCTAAACTTAACAATGGCCCCAAAGTACAAGGGTAGTGATGCTGGCAATTAGGATATGCCAAAGAGAAGCCATAAAGTGCTTCCTTTAAGTGAAAAGGTGAGTACAGTACAATAAAATATTTTGAGAGAGACCACATTCATATAATTGTTCTATTTTAATAGTAGCTATTGTTGTTCATCTCTTACTGTGCCTAATTTAAAGATTTTATTTATTTATTTTTTTAGAGAGGGAAGGGAGGGAGAAAGAGAGAGAGAGAGAGAGAAATCAATGTGCGGTTGCTGGGGGTCATGGCCTGCAACCCAGGCAGGTACCCTGACTGGGAATCAAACCCGCGACACTAACTGTGCCTAATTTATAAATAAAACTTTATCATAGGTATGGGCAGTGTATGATGAGGTCTGTCCAGAAATTATCCAGCCATGTAATGTGTGAAATAGGGACATTTATTGAGGAAGATACGAGATACAAGAAACATTGTACATAGAACAATGACGCCTCAGTCCCCTTCAAAGCAGGCACCTTGGGACCTCACACAGTTCTCCCAATCGCCATCAGCTGCCCTGTTGTATTTTCCTGTATCTCATCAATAGTTTGAAATCTTTTCCCTTTCAAAAGTGATTTTAGTTTTGGGAAAAGGCAGAAGTTATAGGCAGCCAAATCTCGGATGTAGTGGGGCTGAGTCACCTGGCTGGCTTGATGTTTTGCCAAAAACCTCTGCATGAGACATGATGCATGAGCAGGTATGTTGTTGTGATGAAGCTGCCAATCACCAGCTGCCCAGGGCTGTAGCCTTCTGAATCATCTGAATAGTTTCCATGGAGAAATGTTTAAGCTTAATGCAAAATTTGATACCAGATTCGTTGCTCTACTCACTCGGTCATTTTGAATGTGATGACCACAAAGTACACATGCTCATTCAATGGCATCCACTGCCCCCACTGACTAGTATAGTGAGGTCACCATTGTTCATGCATGCTAATTCCAGTCCACTCTCCTTGGCTGCCAGATTTCATCAATGTCATGCAAATTGTTCTTGTTATACTAACAGTGGCTGGACTTTTTCCAGACAGACCTTGCATATGTGACTTTGACCAAGTTACTTAACCACTCTCTACCTCAGTTTTCCCAGTTGTGAAATGAGGTTGATAATATTTAGTGTGACCATGTGTTGATGAGCTAACACATTAATACACTGATATATGTAAAGCACATAAATGATGTCTAGCATATACCAGTGTTCAACAATGCTATTCTTTGAATGTATGGGCTTAAAATAGATGTGATAAATTCTGCTCTAATTAACAGACACTGAATTTCCCTTTCTGGATTTTTTTGTTCATATTCAGGGGTGGGCAAAAGGAGGTTTACAGTTGTAATACAAACAAATAATACAGTAATTAATAAATAATAATACAAAAATAAACTCTGTTTTACATACTCACAACTGTAAACCTACTTTTGCCCACCTCTGTATGTCCCTGTAGGTAAACTTTTTTGGGGTGAGCAGCAAACAGTTGTAAATTATAAAAATTTTGTGTATGGATCCTATATCTTGAAATTTTGGTGTACTTGTTTATTAGTTCTAGTGGTTTTCTTATGCATTCCTTATGATTTTCTATATACAAAATTATGCCATCTGTGAAGAGATATTTTTACTTCTTTATTTTTAATTTGGATGTTTTTACTTTATTTTCTTCCTTATCTTCTTTATTGCCTAGAACTTCCAGCACTGTGTTGGACAAGAGTGGTGAGAACAGCCATCCCTAACTTGTATTCCTGATCTTAGGGAAAAGGTACTTAGTTTTTTGTCATTAAGTGTACTATTACCTGTGGATGTTTTATAGATAGCTTTTATCAAGTTGAAGGAATTTGATAGTCTATCCTATCTTGTTGAGTGCCTTTATCATGAAAGGCTGTGGAGTTTTGTCAAAAGCTTTTTCTGTGCCTATTGAAATGATCGTGTGGTTTTTGTTCTTTATTCTATTAATATGGTGTATTATTGATAGATTTTGTGTGTTGAACCAACCTTCCTTTCCTTGATAAACTCCACTTGGTCTGGTACATAATCCTTTTTACATGTTGCTGGATTCAGTATTCTAGTATTGTGTTGAGGATTTTTGCATCTATATTCATAAGAAATACTAGTCTATAATTTTCTAGATGCCTTTGTTCAGTTTTGGTACTAGGGTAATACTGGTCTCTTAGAATGACTTGGGAAATGTCCTCTTATGTTTTTTGAAAGAGTTTGCGAACAATTGGTGTTAATTCTTTAAACATTTGGTAAAATTTAGCAGTAAAGCCATCTGGGCCTGGGCTTTTCTTTGTGGGGAGATTTTTGTTCTTGTTTTTGTTTACGAGGTCAGTCTCTTTGTTAAAGCTCTATTCACAGTATTTCTATTTCTTGTTGAGTAAGAATTGGTAGTTTGAGTCTTCCTAGGATTTTATCAATTTCATCTAAGTTATCTAATTTGTTATAAAAGTTATAAAAGTTTTGCAATTGTTCATAGTGTTCCTTTATAATGCTTTTTTACTTCTGTGAGATTTGTAGTTATGTTGCATCTTTCATTTCTGATTTTAGTAATTTGAGTCTTTGTTGTTGTTAATGTAGCTAAAGGCTTGTCATTTATTGATCTTTTCAAAGAACTAGCTTTTGGTTTCACTGATATTCCCTATTGTTTTCCTATTCTCTATTTCACTTATTCCTGATCTAGTCTTTATTTCTGCTCTAGTCTTTATTTCCTTCCTTCTGTTTGCTTTTGACTTAGTTTGTTCTTTTTCTATTTTCTTAAGGTGAAAAGTTACTGATTTGAAGGCAAAACTATAAACACAGTAAAAGGATCAGTGGCTGCCAGGGGTTAGGGCAGCGGTGTCAAACTCATTTTCACCAGAGGCCACATCAGCCTTGTGGTTGCCTTCGAAGGGCCAAATGTAATTTTAGGACTGTGTAAATGTAACTATTCCTTAAGCGAGAGCTAGGTGCTGCCACTGGGTAGAAACAGCCTGCCAGGCTGGATAAAACAAGGTGGAGGGCTGGATTTGGCCTGTGGGCCTTGGGTTTGCCACCTGTGGGTTAGAGTATAGAGAGGGATGAATTTTAGGGCAGTGAAACTATCCTGTATGGCTCTATAATGGTGAATACATATCATTGTACATTTATGAAAATTCACATAATGTACAACATCAAGAGTGAACCTACATGTAAACTACAGACTTAAGTAGAGTGACATACCGATGTAGACTCAGCTGTAACAGAGGTGCCACTCTAGGTGGGTTGTGCTAGTGGGGAAGGTTATGTGCATGTGGGAGCAGTGGGTATATGAAAAATTTTTGTACCTTGTGCTCGATTTTTCTGGGAACCTGAAACTGCTCTAAAAAAAAAAAAAGAGTGACTCACTAAAAAATCAAAAGTGAAAAAAACCCCCAGTAAACTATAAACCTCACAGCCTAAGGTCCAATGTCTGCCTCCTAGGTCTGTGGTCTTGCCCTGCAGGATCCTTGTGATGACCCACAATTTGATAGATAGCAGGGACCTGCAAACTGGCTACTACAATATTACCTCTGTTAGTAAACTGCTACTGTCAGCAATGCTGCTTCAGTTATTATTAATTTGTACTATAATTTCTTCCATGATTGACTGAGTATTTAGAAATATACTTTTAAAATTCTCAGTGGAGGGACAGTTTAGAGTTTCTTCTAGCTAAATGTCCTTATGGTCAAAAAATGCTTTTAGTATATTATTGAATTATTTGAGTTTGTTATGATTTGTTTTGTGGTGTAGTACGTGGAAATTATATGCTGGAAAAGAATGTCTATTCCCTACTAGCTAGATGCAGAAATCTACACACTACCACTAGACCAAACTCACTGTGTAGTTAAAATCTTCTCTACCCATACTAAGTTTTTATGCATTTGACCTATCAATTACACAGTATTACATTAAAATTTTCCATTATGATTTTGTATTTAAGTTTCCTCAAGAACTTTGTTAATTTTTACTTTATATACTTTGGGAATATGCTGTTAAATGTATAGAGATTCAGAATTATATCTTTCAGGTCAATTGTTTCTTTTGTCCTTGCCTAATATACTTTTACTTCCAAGAGTCTCTTGCCTTCAAGTTTAACTTGACTGATATTAATATAATTATGTCAACTTCTTTTCTGTTTAAGATTATGATTTGAGACCTTATTTTTGAAATATAGGTTTTTACAGCTACAAATTTCCTTCTAAGCACTGATTTAGCTTAATTCCAAAAGTTCTGGTATGTTGCATTTTTGTTTTCATTAATATCTGAGTATTCCCTAATCTACCTGGTTTCCTTACCCATTGGTTATTTAGGACTGTGGTTTTTAATATCCACATATTTATGAATTTCATGAATTTTCTTCAGATATTGATCACTAATTTCACTTTATTGTGTTTGGAGAACATATGTTATATAACTTAAATCCTTTTAAATTTATTATTTTATAGCTTCAAATGCCTTTTTTCCAAAATATTACTATATCCTTTATTCAAGTTTTGAAGTTTTCTCCACAGAGATCTTACCTTTCTTAGTAAATTCTTACTCTATATTTTTAATAGAGAGATACTTATTTTTCCTCACATTTCTTACTCTGTATGGACTCATACTGTTTTAAAACTACTGGTTATGGTGATTTCCTCTTACCTTTTGACTAAACACACCCTTTAGAAAATAAAGATTGGGTTTTGACTAAACCCATCCCAGGCATAAAGATTGGAAAGAAAATATGAATTTATAACCTAGCCCCATAAAAAGGCTTCTGATTCTCTTTTAAAAAGTGTAAGATTGCCGCGGCCACTGGCTGGCAGTGACCGTGGAACACTGCAGATGGCTCGTCGAAACACGAGAAAAACATACACACAGACAACTGAGTTCTGTGGAGAAATAGGGATGAATCAGCCACTCTCTCTAGTGGAGAGCACCCCGTTATCCTGCCCGCATAGGCTTTTATTGGGTTCATTTACACAGGAATTCAGGTAAAGCTCATTAATCATTGACAGGAAGTAAGGATCAAACAATAGATAACAAAGAACTCTGAGGGCCTATTTTGAGTCAGGGTCAGATAGCTAAAGAGCAATAAAACTTTGAGGAACAAACTTACTTCTTGCTTGGACCCTTATCTGTTAATTGAGAGCATTCTAAACAAAGCAGGTTTCACAGGATTTTACACATTCTTTCTTAGGCCTGATTGCCTGGGGAACCTGCCCTTTCCAGCACAGGGCTGCACCACCCTCTGTCATTGTTTCAGGCTTAGGTGGAGCAAGGGAAGTAAGGCAGCCTAGAGATTAGGAGATTCCTCACAGACAATGAGGACTCAGGCTATGTCAAAGCCGAGGGGCAAGGGTCCATTACCCCCTTTTGCTGTAGCCCCCCAAATCCTTCCTTTGGGGGTCTCCCATTTGATCATGCCTGTCTTAGATCATTCCCCCCTTGGGGAATCTTACCCATCATTGGCTAACTGACCAAACATTGGGAGCCACTATGGATGAAGTAAAAGAAGCAGAAGTGGCGCTCCTGAAGGGAGATAAGTTTTTGTCTCCTTGGTGGCTTACAGTCCAAGGTCGCTCCCTCAGCCTTAGCCTTGGCAGCAGTTACAGCTTCTGCTACCAGTCAGGGAGGTTCCCAACATAAGATAGTTTTGGGAAGAGGAATTTTGGGGGTCTAACTGGCCATCTTGGGGACTAGAAAGGCCTCTTTCCAGGCAGAGTGGTGGGGTTGATTGTATAGTACTGAGCTATACTTGGAAAAAAATCTCTAGTTTTTACAACATCTCTGTGGAAATCAAAGTGACTCTAACCCAGATACTTGGGTTAAGAAGCAAACAAAGGAAAGAAGAGAGGCATATACATGACACAAGAAGATACTTCTTCTATGCAATCTGGTATTTATTAGTACTTTGATCAGAGAAATTCAAAGTTCTCCATACTGAAGGGATTCTGGAATTCTAGGCTATCTCTTAGGCTGTGGGCTAAAAGGACTCAGCTTGTCACACTGGTTGATGTTTGCTGAGGCGATAGGCCTAAAGCTGCATCAGCAAAGAATCTAAGAGAAGAACCCTTTTCTTCTAGCTGGAGTCTGCTGGGGAGAGATACTGATACAGACAGTGGAAAGAAGTGCTGGGTGTCTCATCCTCATCAGGAAAACTGTACAGTTCCATGATCTGCTCTATGTCATAGGCATCAGAGTACAAAGCAGGAACTGAGGCCACCAGCTCCTCCAACCGAGGATCTGGCATTTGGTCATCACTTGTGGGACTCCCAGTGATGAAAGAATCCTGTGCCAAACTGGAAGGGCCCACGGGCTGAGGTGGAAGGGAGCTACAGAAATCTGAAACTGCAGGAAAAAAGGAGTAAGGATTGGTTGATGTTGTGGGTGAGGTGGGCACAATCTTGGCTGGAAGAATCTGATTTAGTTGCTTTGGTGACGGCTGTTGCTGCTGCTTCCTCACTTTGACTCGGCGGTTCCTGAACCAAGTCTGGGAGTTGGGGAAGAGGGGACATTACAGTCTGTTAATGGAGCAGTTTGAAGCTTCTCCTGGTGAAAACAAACCAGATTATAACCCTCATGTCCTCTCCAAGTCACCACGACACAGTTCTGGGACAGCAGAGACGGGCATGAGTGGAGTTAATAGGGGGACAGCCAGGGATCAGAACAGGGACCCCAGAGAAGGAAAGAGCAAAGAAGGGGGGGTGCATTCAAAGGTGGTGCTGGGGGTTCAGAGAAAGGGTCCTGACCTCTGGAGAAGAGAAGCTAGTTCAGGGATCTAGGAGGAGGTACAGAATGTGAAATAAAGGATTTTAAATGATTAGTTAGAGGGCCTTGCCCTGGCTGGTGTGGTTCAGTGGGTTGAGTGCCAGCCTAAGAACTGAAATGTCACTGGTTTGATTCCCAGTCAGGGCGCATGCCTGGCTTGCAGGCCAGGTCCCCAGTTGGGGGCACATGAGAGGCAACCAATGAATGTATCTCTCGCACATCAATGTTTCTTTCCCTCTCTCTCTCTCCCTTCCCTTCTCTCTAAAAATAAATAAATAAAATCTTAAAAAAAAAAAAAAGAAAAGAAAAGAAAAAAGAAGGCCTCTACAGTAAACAATACTCCAAAAAATTTTGGGGGGTCTCAGCCAACTTAGAGGTTGGGAGCAGTTATTTGCAGGGTTTTGCTTGAGAAGACCTTAAGTGAGGAGTCTGTCCTGACGAAAGTCCTCCTGTGTTTGAGCTCCATAGCACAAGACTTCTAGAGTTCTGACTCCAGTCCTACTACCTATTAACACTGTGATCCAGTCACTTTGCCTCTGGACTGTAGCTTCCCTCCTCTTTTAAACTTGATGATAGTGAGGCCAACATATGCAATGTGCCTAGTTCAGTACTAGCACACAGTAGGCACTCAATAAATGAAGTGTTATTATTATCTTATAATAATAAGATAATTCTTAAGGGAAATTCCCTGGAGGGAATTTCCAGGCTGAATAGCAGAATGTGGTTTGGGTTGGGGTACCAAGCACACCTCAGGGGGTCGGACAGACCTTTATTGTTGACTCTGGTAGCTCGAGTTTCAAAGCGAGGTCCTTCTGGAGATTTTTATCTGGAAACATGGTGTAGCTAAATACAGCCTCCAACTGTTCTTGCTGCGTATGCATAAATGAGGTGCGTTTTTGGTGCTTCTTCCGCGTTGCTGGAAAGCAGAGATGGAGAGGCGGTGGTTACGCTAACACTACCTCCTCTCCCCATAACCACAGCCATGAGTCTCCCATGACTTTCCTCCAACCAGGCTTGGAATCCGAGAGATGGAGATCCCAGGGCGTGACTCTGAGAGGCTGAGCCCTAAGTAACAGTGCTCTGTCCTGTTTTTGGAGATTTAGTTTGTCTCTGATGGGAAATGTTACCTCTTTGTTCTCTCTGTACCCAGTCTGTTTGCTCTGGAAATTGGCTCCCGCGAGTTTCCGTTTACCTTGCACTATAAGCAGAAAATCCCTTTTCATTTGTACTCAGTCCATCTACCTTACCTGAATCTCAGACAGGGGACAGTTCTTTGTCTTTTTCACACTTTCTCTCTTTTAGAAACTGGGAAGAAACCTCATGTCCCTACAACTAAATACAGCAAACTCTTCAGAATGGGTTTCCTCTCTTTACTTGTTTATTTAGGAACCCAGTCTATCACGACTGTTTTCTTTTTTCCTTTCCAGGGTTTCTGAAGCTCTATTCACTCCTCTGTGCAAAGGTTCATAAGAAATGAAGCATAACTAAATATGTGGAGGTGATGAAAAATTATAGAATATTTTAAATGGCAATGAGAGAAAAAGGAAATTTTTATTAATTTTTTAAGGAAATGCAATTACCAAAATTTGCTTACAAAGAACTGCAGCTGCAAACCTTGAACAGACTGATAACCATGCGCACACACAGGCTAAGCTGTAGAATTCAAGGCAATGCTCTGCTAATGCTCCTGTCATGTGTCCATTTCAGTGAGAGGACAGAGGGTCTTCACTGGGGCCTCGCTTCTTATGTTTTAGGTCTGTAACGCCAACACTAAAACCTGGCCGGGACAGACACCATAAACAAACTATAGACTAATGCCACTTATGAACATACAGGGTGGGGCAAAAGTAGCTTTACAGTTGTTTGTGTGGAAAATAGCACACACAATAGTTAATAAATAATAATACAAGAGTAAATCACATTTTGCATACTCAGAAGTGTAAATGTACTTTTGCCCCACCCTGTATATGAAAATGACCTATATAAAATATATTGAACATAATCACATATTAACTATACATATTTCTAAATGGGTACTATATAATTTATTTTTGAAGTCCATATACATGTATTTGAAATCAAATATAAATTTATGCATATTAATTTTCTATTTACATTTTACAAAATTATCTTTTTCAAATGGTTTGCATTTAGCTTACATAGCCATATCTTAACAGTCTGAGCCTATTCTTTTAATTAAACAGTATAGTTTTGACTGGCACATAATCTTTCCTTTCAAATAAGTTGTTTGTGATATAGCACTATAGAGCTGAGCTTTTGGAATATGTTTCTGGAATACTATTACTGGGAATTTTGTTTTAATTTACAAGAAATGTAACATTAAGATAACAGCTTTGTCCCAAAGCTCATCCTAAAGAAGTGCATTTGTGGTCTCTAGATACTAATCACTGCAGATTTAAAACAAGAAAGAGGTTTATTCATTTACTTAAATAAGTCGTATATGAAAATAGTACAAAATTGAAACCATCTTTGTTTCCCTGCTACCTAATTACTCTCGAGTTGTTTAGTAAAACACAGTAGCCACTACCCAGCAGGGCTATCAAGGATAGGAAATGTGGCTAGTTCCACTGAGGCACTAGATTTAAATTTCATTGAAATGTAACTAATTTGCAGTTTTAAACAGATAACTCCATCCAGTTATTAGGAAACTTTTTAGTATGATAGGACAACTTGAGTTATGTGAATATGCTTTTTCAAATGTGAATTTTATAAACTCTAAATGCAGATTAAGTATCTCTGATGGAAATTTAGCATATACACTGAGATACTCTGTGAAGTATAAAGTTCTCACTGGATTTGAAAGCCTTAATGTGAATAAAATAATGTGAACTGTCTTACCAGATCATTTGTTGTCTGTTTAGCAAAAAATTGTTACAATTTAAAATGCGAAATTCTATATTATATACATTGTCTGATTTAATAATGCATTAAAAACAAAAGGCTTTAAATTTATCCTCTATTTGTGAATGCCCAAACACAGCATGTACAAGTAAATTGAACAAACAAAAAGCTTAAAGGTGATAGAAGGACAAGATTGACCTTTGTGTGTATTTTTAGCTTTTTTTTGGTAATTTTTTAAAAAAATTTTATTTTAATCATTGTTCAAGTACAGTTTTCTCCCTTTTACTCCCAGTCCAGCCCACCCACCCAGCCCTCCCCACTTCCCTCCCATTACCACCCTCCCTGTAGTTTTTGTCCATATTTTTAGCTTTTTATATACTCTTGATTCATATTAGCTTGAGTCTGTTTATTTGAAATATTATCTCTTAAAAAAAAAATTATTTCCCTGACCTCTGTGTCTCAGTTGGCTGGGTTTCGTCCCACAAAGCGAAAGGTCGCCTGTTTGACTCCTGGTTGGGTCCTGTTCCTGGGCTGCAGGTCCAGTCCCCATCTGCCCTTGAGAGAGGCAACTGATCGATGTTTCTCTCTTGCTTTGATGTTTCTCTCCTTTTTTTTGTTCCTCCCTTCTCAATTTCTCTAAAAATAAATAAATAAAATCTAATGAAAAAAAAAAAGACAAACAGGATCTCTTTTAGTAAGACTAACAAGTTTTTGCATCTAAGCTTCATGCTCAGATATTGGTGTAATAACTGTGCTCCCGACAACTCCTTTCTTGTGTGTTTCAACCAGTTCTCAAGTTGTTGATTGGTTGTGACTTCCCACTTATCTGCACACACAGATGCAGAAGAAAGATATCAGGAAGTCATCAGGGTTTGAGAAGAGGAGAATCCCTAAAACATTAAGGGATACACTCTGGAAAGTTCAGCAGACCACGCTGGGAAAAGCAGCTGAGAAGAGATGGTTTCAGACACACCATTGACAGAATCCCTCCCCGGCAGACCTGCTCCATGGGTGATGTTAAAGGCCATCCTTTAGGCAGGAGGAAAATAGATATCTGAAAAATATCTGATAAATATCTGATAAAGGACTTATGTCTGGAGTGTGTGACAAACTCTTCCATCTCAAAGATTAGAAGATGAACATTCCAATTAAAAATCTTTTAATATTAATGAAAACACTTGAGTAGAATTTCATCAGAGAAGTTATATAAATGGGCATGTGGAAGAATGTGTAAAAATTGAAACTCACACAGCAATTGGACATTGTTGGGGGGACAATAAAATGATATGGCAACTTTGGAAAACAGTTTGGTAGTTTCTTAAAAAGGTTAACATAAACTTATCATATGACTCAGGGACTCCACTCCTAGGAATCCACCCAAGAGAAATGAGAACATTTATTCATGTGAGGACGTAACTATTCATAGCAGAATTGTTCATGATAGTCCCAAGCTGGTAGCAATCCAGACCTCCTTGTTAAATGGGTATTTAAATGTAGTATATCCACACAATGGAATATCTTTCAGCAATCAAAGGAATGGGTTACTGATACATTTTAAAACATGAACGAACATTATGCTAAATGAGATATATGTTTGTTAAGATTAAATGATAGATTCATGGGAATTCATTATTCTACTGTTTTTGTTTACATTAGCAATTTCAATATACTAAAATATTAAAAATAAGTAAATAAAATGTAATCTAACAATTATTTTTTCCAAAAAAAAGACATATCCACCCTGAGACTGAAGTGTTATAAGCAAGAATTACATTCACTATGGCGAGTGGCTGAAAAAGTGGAGTTGAGAGAGATTGGTAATCTTTGAATCATTTATGTTCAATAGTAAAAACTTTGCTTATTAAGTATACTTGTTTAGGAGTACGATCCTAGTTAGTTTAAGGAGCTAACTATTCACCTCAGTTTCATCAAGCATTGAAAGTGAATGCTAAGAGTATCTACTTTTTTTTTAAAGATTTTATTTATTTATTTTTAGAGAGGGAAGGGAGGGAGATAGAGAGAGAGAAACATCAATGTGCAGTTGCTGGGGGTTATGGCCTGCAACCCAGGCATGTACCCTGGCTGGGAATCGAACCTGTGACACTTTGGTTCGCAGCCTGAGCTCAATCCACTGAGCTACGCCAGCCAGGGCTAAGAGTATCTACTTTATAACAGGGTTTGTAAATGTATTGTATGAACATATCAATGCCAGGCATTAATACACACAAAAGATTAGGATAATGCGTGGCACATCATATGTAAAGTATAAATATTTTATTTTACTAATTTTACTTTAGAATAGTTTTCACTGAAAATGAAGTCTTTAAACAAAGTTACAAGCCATATTTAATATAGGCTATCTAACAACCTTGCCACATTTCTGATAATTCACTGCTTATAATCGTACTGATCTTATAGTAATTAACCTCCTCAGTATATCAAGTGTAAGTTAGGAAAATATTACCAATTAAAATAGTTCAGTGGATTTATAGAAAAACAGATTTTTTAAAAGCCATATTGCTATTTTTTATTATTTTCCTATCAATATGATACAGAAAATACTCTCTCCTTTAAAACTCAAAAAATTATAGTTTAGCCCTGGCTGGTGTAGCTCAGTGGATTGAGCATGGACTGTGAACCAAAGGGTCATGGGTTTGATTCCCAGTAGGGCACATGCCTGGGCTGTGGGCCAGGTCCCCAGTGGGGGCCACATGAGAGGCAGCCACAAGTTGATGTATCTCTCCCTCTCTTCCTCCCTCCCTTCCTCTCTCTTTAAAAACAAATATGAACTCTGCCTCCTATGCCCCCCACCTCATCTTCCATGAAACCAGTCCCTGGTGCCAAAAAGGTTAGGGACCGCCGGATTAGAGCATTGTCCTGATACACCATGGTTGTGGGTTCAATTCTGGGTCAGGGTACATAAGAATCAATCAATCAATGAATGTATAAATAAGCGGAACAACAAATCAATGTTTCTTTTTTTCTCCTTCCTTCTCTCGCTCTAAAAATCAATAAATAAAAAATTGTTTAGAAAGACCAATGGGAGCATTTTTGGTGTGATTTTTGTTCTTTTGTCTTAAGTTCCTGATTTTTTTCAGAACCATAAAGGTGAAATCGGTATCTTGATACTCATATCAAACCCCTTGCAACCACAATTGAGTTTGTTAATGAGGCAACTTTTGGAAATCCCCTAGAAACTGGAGTGTTGCTTGCCAGAGAAACCAGCCCTAATAAGAGGGTTGGCACTTTCAGTCCAGCCCCCGATTTCTGGGGAGGGGAGAGGGGCTGTAGGTTGAATCAGTCACCAATGGGCAATGATATCATCAGTCATGACTTTGTAATGAAACCTCCACAAAATCCCAAGAAGACAGGGTTCAGAGAGCTTCTGGGCTAGTAAACCAGAATGAACCCACATGCTACAGAGCTGGGTCCAAACCCCACGTGCACAGACACGCCTTTGTTTGGGATCCCATCCTCTGTATCTTCATCCAGTGACTGATTCTTAGTCTTTAATATTCTTTCTAATAAGCCAGTAACCTAGTGAGTAAACAGATTTTCTGAGTTCTGTGAGCTGCTCTAAAAAATTAATTGAACCCGAAGAGAGGGTCATGGGAACCTCTGATTTATAGCCAGTCGGTCAGAAGCACAGGTGATACATGGACTTGTGATTGACAGCTGAGTGAGGGCAGTTTTCTGGGTCTGAGCCCTTAACCTGTGGTCACTGACTCTATCTCTGGGTTGATATGATCAGAATAGGGTTGAATTGTAGACATGTAGCTGGTGTTAAGAGAACTATTTGGTGTGCGGGGGGAATCCACACATTGGAGTTGGTGTTAAAATTGTATCCTACCTTGGATGAGGAGCTTTCTGTATTTCTGTCTGTCTAACAGATGGAATATGTGTCCTCTCCTGGAAAAACCTTCTTACGTGCTTTATATTTTGTGTTCTTACCTCTCATAATTTGGTAAAGCACGGGCCAAAGGTACTTGACTTTGATATGAAATGTATAACATCCCCTTTTATGATGGGAATATTTATAGGGCCCCCTGTGAGGAGGACAACAGTAGAGGAAGGGAGGACAAAGAAGAGTTATACTCACTGGGACCAGCTGGACTCTGTGGTATCACGTTTATTCTGGAATCATCTATGTGGTTACGAAGGTCTGACCAGGGATTCTCTGGAGCCATTCTGTTCATCAGAGACACTGACATGTAGGATGAAATGCCTATATGATAAAGGGGATCCTGTTGAAATCATTTATTCACTGGAAAGCAATGTTTTCTAGGGGCCTGGGCTCATTGTAACACAAATGAATTTAACCTCCAGAGTTTCTACCTCTCCTGGAAAATAATTTGCATTTATACCATAAAAGTATTGCACATGTTTTAGTCAAAAGTGAAAAATTGAAAATATTAGAAGAAATTCTGTGTCAATATCTTTGTGACTCAGAGTAAGGGGATATTTTCTTTAATGAGATTGTTGAAACACAGATTATGCATGAAAAAATACATAAATTAGACTAGATAAAATGACTATAGGTTTTCTCATCAGAAACCAAGACAGATGGTGGAACAAAATTTTTAAAGTGCTGAAAGTAAAGTGCTGTCAACTCAGAATTCTGTATCCAGGGAAAATATCTTTCAGGAATGAAGATGAAATGATGACATTCTCAGATAAGGGAAACTATGAGAATCTGTGACCAGTAGTCCTATTCTATGGAAATGTTAAAGGAATTTCTTCAGGCTGAAGGGACATGGTGTAGGAGGGAAAGGTGCAACTTTAGGAATGAAGAAAGATCCATAAGAAAGGATAAATATCTAAATATCAGTTATATGTCTTCTAAGTTATTTGAAATATATGTGAATATTGAAAGCAAGAATTATCACATTTTATAGTGCTTGGTTTTTCTTTTTTACTTTTAGTTTTGAAATAGTTAGATGCACAGAAGTTGCAAAAAAAAAACAAAAAAAACCCACCAAAACCCAAGAGAGTACAGGGAGGTCCTGTGCACCCTTCACTCTGCCTCTCCCAATGGTGACACCTGGCATAACTGTAGTGCTCTATCAAAACCAGAAAAATGACACTGGCACACTCCATAAAGCTCATTTACATTTCACCAACCACAGTGCCCAATCTGGACTGCATGGTGGATGGTCTAGGATGCTTCTACCCAACTTTCCCTTCTCCTTCACCGGCAGTCAGGTTTGTGTTGTGGTCCAATAGGTCTTCCAGCCTCCCCTGACTTCTTCACCATCTTCTGTATAAGCATTTCTTCTAATAAAATCCTTGCAGGTTTGTTTAATCTTGTCTTGCCATCTGCTTCTTAGAGGATCCAGACTAAGTCACCCAATCTTGTTACCAGCTAATCCATCCTGGAAAATGGGATTTAGTCTACCCCAGAGGCACTTGGAATTCATCTGACTGTTGAAACTGTCCCTGCTTCAAGGACTGTGTGCCCCCAGGAGGTGGGAGTGAAACTGGAGGGGAGAGGGCGGGTTGTTGCACTCACTGTGATCCACTCTGTCTTGTGGTATCTCTTCAGTGCCGTCATCACTCATGTAGAAGTAAGAGTAGGTCTGGGGAGTCCCAGGGGCTCTTCTGTTCATCTGGGCACCAGAGAACTGCTTTGGTAGGTCTGTGGAATAGAATAAGGGGGTGGAGAGTAATGATCTAATTCATTCTGGGGGATGTAATGTATTCAAGGCCATTGGGGTTTGAATCCCAGGTCACTCACATAGTACCTCTGGGAATTTAAAGAAAAAGTGACTTCACCTCCCTAAGCCAATTATCTCAGCTGAAAAATAATTATAATCTCTACCTCACAAGGCTACAGTGAGGATTCACTGAGAGCCTGACTATAAATCACAAAGCTTGTTGCAATATGATGCTCAAGGGATGGGGTCTGCTGTTATTGAAAAAAGTAATTCAGATCATGTAACTGTACTGCTCAGAACCCTTCCTCACCTCCTCAGTGCAGGGAGGACAAATCCCACATTCTCACTGACCCTGCCCTAGGGAGCCTAGAAACAGGTGGTGAGGCCTGGCAGTGCACTAGGCCCGGCAAAAAGCAGCTTGAGCCCCTGCATTGAGTTCTTTGCCTTTTGAACTTTACTAGATATACAGATCACTCGGGGATCTTGTTAAAATACAGATCCTGATTCAATAGGTCTGGGGTAGGGCTTGAGATCCTGCATTTCTAATGAGCTCCCAGGTGATGCTGATATTACAACTCTGCAAATAAGACTTTGAGTAGCAAGGATTTATAAGGGCCTCTCTCAACATAGATGAATCTTGAGAATATCATGCTAAGCAAAATAGGTCAGAAAAAGTTAAGAACCATATGATTTCTTCTATATGTGGGATATAAAACTGAAAGCAACAAATGAACAATCAAGAAAAACAAACAAAAACTCCCAACACAGACAACAGTGTGGTGGTTACCAGAGGGAAGGGGGTAGGGGGTAGTAAAGAGTAAAAGGGGGTCAAATATATGGTGACGGAAAATGTGACTTTGGGTGGTGGACACACAATGCAGTGTACAGATGATGTGTTACAGAATTGTACACTTGAAACCTGAATAATCTTATTAACCAATGTCACCCCAATAGATTTAATTTTAAAACAATGAACAAAATTAAATAAAATGCCTCTCTCTGGCTCTGTCTGTATGTACCTCTCCCCACTGGGCATGAGTCTGCAAGGCAAAAGCGTCGTGGCCCCTAGAATGCTTGTCCACTTCTTAGTCACGCTCCATAGGCCAGAGGCTGCAGGATCTTCTGCCAAATGGCTCTGAGCATATGGAGCCGGTTCCCTGAGTTCACGTCCCTGAGTGGAGAACAGGCTATCCATGTGGATTCCCACCCTGGCCTGAGGGGGCTATTGGTCATGTGGTGTTCAAAGAGACTGGGCCTTGGGCATGGAGAGGGAGTGAGAACGATGGCGGGGGCGCTGTGGCTAGCTCTCCCTCCAATGCCACGTTCTGATGCGGAACTTTAACAGTGTCAAGAATTCAAAATTTCAATCTCAGCTTCCTGGAAGATATACTTGTCAAGGTGGGCAGCTAGAACATACTTTACTTAACAGTTTGGTAGCTTGATTCACAACTTTGACATACTTCTGGTGGATGGTACATGGGCACTCATTTGTGTTTGCTTCTTGGCCTCGAAAGTGGCACCTTCTGGGCACTCCTCTCCTGGCAGTCTGTGTTCTGGCCACACTGGGTCTCCTTCAAATCTTTGAACAAGTCGTGAGCTGCCTGTTTCAGGTGTTTGTACATGTTTGCCCCCACTGTTCTGTCCTACTCGACAACTACTCAATACCCACCCGCCTATCTTTCCTCAGTTTAAACAACACTAACTTTAGAAGCGATCCTTTTCTTCCCAGATTACTTCACAATGTTCTCTTAGCTCTTAGTACTATATGCTTTCCCTTCTGGGAGCAATAGCAATTTTATTTACCCATTTATTTGTCTGTTCTTTATTGTCTCTTTATTACACCTTTGGAAACAGTTGACTATGGGAAGTGATGTGTCAATGGGAGGAGAATATAGATTTTTTTTTTGCTTTTATTTGAAAAGAGTTTACATGAGCGAGATGGAGAAACTGAGAGAGACAGAGAGAGGCAATTACTGTGAAAGTCTGGATAACCGAGGGCTGCAGTTCTCTGAGTGGGCTCTGAAGGCCCCTGGAGTTCCCTAAGATCTTTTTAGGGGGTTCATAAGGTCAAAGTTGTCTTCCTAATATTAAAATGTTTGCTTTTTAACACTCATTCTGTGAAGAATGTCCAGTGGAATACATTTAGAAAAGCATAACTGAGTAAACCAGTATTTTGAAAAAAACAAACAAACAAAAAAACCCCCCAAAAACCAGTGTGATGTTACAAAATCATGAATGGATAAAAGATCCACTCAAAGTGCAAGGCAGACAGTGGATTTTAATGTGACAGATTATGAAAAGTTCATTGATATAATTTTAAATTTCCAATAGCAACTAATCTGTAAGAAATTACCACTTCCTCAGATTGTTTTAGTTTTAAAGACTATTCACAATTATCACAAAGGCTATTAGAATACTCTTTTATTTTCTAACACTATGTTTGTGTAAGGCCAGATTTCAGCATGATCTGCACAAAGCTAGTTTCAACAATATATTACAAAAGATGTGTGGAAAAGTGGAAGAGAATTCTGCTGTCTTCTATCAAGCCAGATAAAGTTCCTATAACATAAAATGTTGACATCGTTCTCACTATTTTTTCTGTATGGAAAATATAATTAACATGCCCTGGCTGGTGTGGCTCAGTGGATTGAGCACCAGCCTGCAAACTAAAGGGCTGCCGGTTCAATTCCCAGTCAGGGCACATGCCTGGGTTGTGGGTCAGGTCCCCACCACATATTGATGCTTCTCTCCCTCTTTCTCCCTCCCTTCCTCTCTCTAAAAATAAATAAAATCTTTTTTAAAAAAGAAAATATAGTTAACATGCAATGCATTTATCATTTTGAGTAAATAAATACTTTTTAATTTGTCCATTTTAATTTTTAATGTGGTAAATGACTGTAGATACAACTTACAAAAATGAAAGTTCTTTGGAGCCCTCAATTTTTTACAATGTGAAGAGGTTGAGAACAAAAAGTTTGAAAAGCAAAAACAGAGAATGAGCCAGGGTCTGACATTTAATGGAAGAGAAATTAAACTCAGCTAAGCATCTGTTCTTCAATATAATTCTCAGAATAAATGCAGTAATTAATGATACAGTGAAATACAATAACAGTATTAGAATGTTCTAAAGCAATAATAACAAAAATAATAACAACATTTGGAGATGTTTTCCATGTGTCAGATATCTAAGTGTTTCATAAACACGATTCATTTAGCCCTCAACAAACACATGGGGTAAAGTACCATTGTTACCATATTCTCACAGAAGACGCAAAGTAAGCTCTTCAAGTTTGAGCTGATAAGAGTAGCAAAATTGGGAATGAAATTGTTCTTACTGATACCTGTATACACTAACCCCTGCCCCATTTCCCAGGAGGGGCATTGAGAGTTTACAGCTTAAGTTAGCTTATGAAACAAACAAAACAGCATGTTTCAAATGAACTCAGGCATTTTCTGGGATCATGGCTGTGAAGAGCACAAGACAGTAGGGACACTGCATTACTCAGCAAGTTATTTGTCTACCTCCCACAAGTGGGCACTTATTTACGTCTGGTGATTCTGCAGTGAATAAAACACAAAACTTCCTGCCGTGATGGAGCTTCTATTGAGGACGGTGCAAGGTCAGGCCCGCACCGACTGGGAAAGGATGGGAGCCCTGCAAAGCAGACACCAACCCAGTGTAACCGGAATCTCACATTTACCCTCCACTTTGTTGAGGCAATGGGACCCTCCTCCCTGAATTCACAAACCTCTCTCTACAGCTCCCTCATTTGGAATGGAGCCGAGTGATCTGCATCCTTTAATCTTGCTCCTTTGAGCTTTTGAATCCTTTTTGACCACTTAAAACCCACATTCTGCACCACTATCAGCCCCCCAACCCCTGCTTACCTGTCATGAATCCCCTCGGAGTACCCATTTTCAAGACTGCTGGATGTGTCTCTGAAAATGCAGTTTCTTTAGTGTCTTATCACGGTGCAACACCGTGTATTTAAAGGTAAAATTCGATACAATCAGATCCTGGCACCACCCGGACCCACCCCTCATGCCCCACCCTTCATCCTTGTCAGTCATTGATTTATTTAGTAAAAGTATGCTTAGAGACTAATATCACTGTTGCTGGAAATAGAGTCATTTTTCTTTTCATACTCAAACTCCCTACCTTTGACCAGCCCTTTAAGCTGCTCCTCATCCTTTGGATACCACCACCTCTTTATTTCACTTTTTACACTCGCCTGTTATTTCACGGTATAGGTGAATCTCTTTAAAATGGGAATCCAATTAGAGCACTTTAAATTTGGATTAAGTCTGTTTATGCATAATAGGATAATAATAAGTAATACATTTAGACTGATCTCTTTTTCTTTTTTTCAAATTATAAGAAAAAGTTTGTTTAGAAAGTTACAGTGGTGGTAAAAGTGAGCCACGGGGGGTGTGTAGGTTCAGGAAACAAGTTACAGGAGCAAAATAAGTGCCCTTGGAGTTTAGGGGAGAGAAAGGCAAAGATGATGCCTCGGGGCTGGGAGGGGAAGGCGGGGCTTGGGAGGGGAAGGCGGGGCCTGCACCCAAGGGGGAAAGCAGCCTCGACTTATTTTTACTTCCTTCACAGGTTTTTTTCCCCCACTTTACCAGCCTTCTGTAGCAATGGTTGCACTTTATTCCCTTCCCCCCTCCCATGTGGCATGTTAATTATATGCAAGATTTAAAGTTACTATTAATTTTTTACGTACATCCTCAATTTTGAAAATTCAGTAATTTTAATCAGTTTCTTTATCCTTCTCCTGAACAATACAATGATCTTTGGATTTTTAACAGTGAATTCCCCATCTTCAGGCATTTGTGTTATTCTTGCCTACTATTTTAGATTAAACTTGCTTTTATGACCTTAAAAGTCATTGTTATTTTTTGCCATAAATAGTTATTTAGATTTAACCGTATGTTTATAAATCTATGTTTAGATTTAACCGTATGTCTTTGGTCGTCATTGCTTCTTTCATCTCTCTTTTCCCACTTGGGCACATTTTTATTCTTTCTGAAGTAGAATCATTCTTTTGGTAGTGGCTTCTTAATTGTAAAACTTTTCAAACTCTTTTGCATGAAGATAATATTTATTAAATTGTCAGTCTTGCATAATTGGTTAGGTGAGTATAGAACTCATTTATTTGAAGTCTGCTGACAGTCAAACTTTTATTACTTCGTAGGTAATCTTTCTGTATGCTCTAGCTGCTTCTAAAAAGCTATGTGCTTTGTCCATGGTCTATATTTTTACCTCAAAATGTCTGGGTAAGATTTGTTTTTATTTATCTTGTTCACATGTCACTATATGTCTTTAATCTAAACACTCTTGAAATTCTTCAGTTAGGGATGTTTCTGAGCCATTATCTCTTTGAATAATGTCTTTCCTTCACTATCCCTATAAGCTTCTTTTGGAATTTCCATTAGATTTATATCAGACCTTCTCATTCTATTCTTTATATTTTTCAAATGCTATCATCTTCTTAGCTTTCTGAGCTGTAGCTCATTTAGCTATAATGTTAAAAATCTGACATATTATATAATGCATATATATATGTGTGTGTGTAAAATATTTATATATTTTAATATATATATAAAATAATCACTCTGGCTGGTGCTTTTTGTTGTCCTTTAATTTTGTTTTCTCTGTGGTGCTTTGCCCACCCATCCTGCCACCAAACTGACAGAAGTCTTACTTATTCATCTGTCTGTTTGTTCTTTCTTCCATTACTTATTTTTACTCTAAATGTATTTATTTACGGTATAATCGACATATAGCGCCACGTTAGCTGCAGGTGTATAACATAATGATTTGGAATTTGTACACACAGCACTGTGAAGTGATCATGAGAACAAGTCTAGTTACCTTCTGCCACTGTACGTAATTACACACTTTTTTCTGTGCTGAGATCTTTTAAGATGTACTCTTAGCAACTCTCAAATATTAATACAATATTATTAACTGTGGTCACCATGCTGTACATTATTCATCACTTATTTGTTGAGTGCCTACAGGATCACAACACTATTCTGGAATTGAAGAGAGGGGAGTCAGGTATGACTATAATAGACTTGACTCAGCTTCAAACCATAACAGCAACCATCAGCTTGTCGGAGTAGCTTCCCTGGGCCTGGGAGGAAGCTCTGGCTCTTCCCACTCCTCTTGTTAGCTAGCCCAGAGGGCATAAGTTCAGAAGGCACATGTCTTAAACTAAGCCAGAAATGTAGAAACAAAAGACTTGACTTACACTCTGAATCCTACCAAGAAAAGCAGACAGGAGCTTATTACATAACAAAATAAATGCACCCAAAGTAAAACAGAAATATAAAGCAATGCACAATAGGAAAGAAAAGATAGGGTATTAAAGAATCATCCCAGCAAACAGGACAATGATTGACAGGTGTTCCAGAAAGAGAGAACACAGCACAGAGAAATCTCACAATTTACCCCAATATCTCTCTCAAAATCTCTCCCTTTCCCTCTCAGTACCTCGCTCTCTTTTTAAATATCTCTCAGTTGTATATATCTAACCAATTTCTGTTATTCCTGTCATTCTCCTGCAGTCCTCCTTACCTATCTGCCTCCTCATTTTTCCTTCCCCTCCCTTTCCCTGTTCCTCCCCTGACCTCCTCCTTCTCTCTGAATCTTTCAAGATTCAATTTCTCTCTCTCATACTGACTCAATATTTTCTCAATTTTTCTCTTACCCAGAGTCACTCATTCACTTTCTCTCAATTTTGGACAATATCTCAGTTTCTGAAATCTCTATTTTGTAACATTTTGTTCAAAATCCACTCAATTCCTATTTACCTGTGTCAGTTTTTGTTAATCTCTCTTTTTCATATTTCTTACCCATTCTGGCTATCCAATTTCTTTTGTCATACACATTTTCTCCCTCCCTCTCTCTCTGTCTCTCTCTCTCTGTATTTCAATATTTCTTTTGGTACTTTTCTTTTAATGCATCGATTTTGTCAACCCCTCAATCTTTCTCTGAAAACTTTTTTCAAAAAAACATTCCAAAATAACTCCCTTAAACTCTTATTCAAGCTCTCCTTTTTTTTCCTTCGTGAAATAAATAAAAAGTTTTACTTATTTGTTTTTAGAGAGACAAGAAGGAAGGGAGAAAGAGAGGGATAGAAATATTGATGCACAAGAGGATAGATTGGTTGCCTCTTGCACGCCCCCACCTGGGGACCTGGCCCAAAACCTAGGAATGTGCCCTAGCTGGGAATCAAACCAATGACCCCTCAGTTCGTAGGTTGGCACTCAATCCATTGAGCCACACTAGCCAGGGCAGAAATAAAAGGTTTCAGAGGCATGAAGGTAAAATGGTAATATATTTAATATAGAATCTCAAAGCCAAAGCTTCTGTAGTAAAAAAAGTTAAAAGCAAACATTAGACTATTCAACCCATCATTTTTCCTTTTAAAGATTTTATGTATGTATGTATGTGTGTATATATGTATGTATGTATGTATTTTTAGAGAAAGAGGAAGGGAGGGAGAGAAACAGTGATGTGCAAGAGAAACTTTGATCAGTTGCTTCTCACATGCCCCCAACCTGGGACCTGGCCTACAAACCAGGCATGTACCCAGATTTGGGAATCCAACTGGCGACCTTTCAGCTTGTGGGTGATGCCCAGCTCACTGAGCCACACCAGTCAGGGCTCAAGCCATCATCTTCATAATTCTGAAGAGGCAAGGCTTTCGGGTTGTCCTGTAGCATTGAGGGGAAGAGAACGTGCTGGGTGATGGTGCCATCCAGGGTGGTGGCAAAGATCCTAGTTTCAGAAATGAGGAGGGAGAAAACTGTTGGCATGTGTTGAAACAAAGGGAAATGGTCTGAAAGGAGCAGTACAGGTTGTTCTCCACTCTTATCATGGGGGAAGATCCTGAGCAAGTTTTGTGGTATAAATGATGATTTAGGGGCATATTGTGCCTTCATTTCAATTAACCCATCTATTCTACACTGCTGGTGCCCTAGGGGCACAATCCTTATTCCCTGAGTAGATCCTAGATGCTTCCTCTCTAAACCCACAAGGCTTTCCTCCAGCTCCGTGTCATCTTGGGCTGGGCAGGGGTCTAAAACTCCTCCCTAATCCTTACTGGACAGAGTCTACATTTAAACACATTTCAAATAGTAGGAGAAGGCAAAGATGCGAAAACGAATTTTGGTAGTTCCTCCAGGAATCAAAATTATCCACGAGGTGAGGGGGAAGGGCAGAAAAAGAAAGGAGAGTGAGACAATATAGAACAGGGTTCGAATGGACTTGAGTCACACTATATGCGTGGAGGCTCTACAAGAGATGTATGACCTTGTAACCTTGGGCAAGTTACTTAACCACTCATGGTTGTTATGACATTAAAGCAATTAATATCACTAAAACAATTAAACACTATTTCATTGTTTAATTAAAATGATTAAAACATGGCTACCTTATAAAGAAAGCACCCTGTACCCTAGGAACACTATGGAAGGAGACAGACATAAAATAATAAATACCTTTTATTATTCATTTTTTAATTGAGTTTCCCATTTTCCCTTGATGGGTAAAATCTTCCTTTTCTAAGGTCTTCATAGCTACTCTCTCCTTTACCCCAGGAGGAAGGAAAACCACAAAGCAAAATGAACTCAAGGCCCGAATATCAAGTTCCATGAGACTGAAAGTTCAGAAACCCTCAAATGTTCACAGGTGACGTCCCCTGCATGAGCAGTTAGTACTGACGTCTCAGAGAACACGACACATTCAATAAAGGCTTCCTCAGACTAAACCTCCATTTTCTAACCAAATAACAAAACTGAAAAAATTTCAGAAAAGGGGGACAGATGGTTTGAAACTAAGATCCATGACAGCAGAGACTACGTCTCTTTCCTACATCACTGTGTTCCAGAACCCAGAAAAAT